CCCTCCCCAGTGTCTATCACCCAGTCACCCCATCCCTCCCACCTCACCCCCCACTCCAACAACACTCAGTTTGTTTCCTGCGATTAAGAATTCCTCATAAAAATGTTAGTAATTTTAAACTTTCTACCTCAAAAGAGTATTTTTGATGCCTCAGCAGAATGATTAACTATTAAGTGATGCAGATTTTTTTTGAAGCAAAGCTAATAGGCTGAACCAATCGAAATTGCTGATTGTCTTGACTTGCAAAAATGTCAGTTTCAGACGCTTCCATTTGTATATATCAGAGTGAGGGGGGCCTTTGTAATTGTTAGAAATTAAAACTTCCTAGGTTCTACACAGACAGCACCTGAACAATACATTAGACAAACTATTATTTGTTCCTAAATCCAAAGTACATATGTAATTGAAGTACGCAACAAAAATATGAACAACTTACAAGGTGCAGAAAAATCTTCTTTCTTTGCCCAGAGAGGTGGTTGGTGGTACAGCCAGCTAACTACCCAGGACCTCTGGCTCTATTCTAGTTTTTGTTGTATTGGAACCATTGACATTAATGCTGTCCTAAATATTCACTTACATGATTTTATTAAATTACAATTACATTTTTGTTATTATTTATAATATCCACTAGGTTTCCTGGGGACATCAATGGTGGTTTTAATGCCCATGTCCCCGACACACAAGGCCTGGCAAGGAAACGCTGTGCACTAAATGTTGGTCGAATGAATGGATGGTGACAGTCATGGACAGAGCACTTCCCGTGCATTACCCCATTTATTAATTTTAAGAGCACATTGTATCATACTTTCAATTTGGTTTTGAATCAGTCTTTTCTTTATTTTTTTTTTAATGGATGGCATCAGTAAGGAAATGCTTAGTACCCACGATAGGAATTTTGGAAAATTTAGTAAAAGAAAAAAAATCTGGGAATTGAAAACCTAAATCTTTTCAGTCAGGTGTTTCTTTTTGTTTTGTTTTGTTTTTTAATGAAGCCAGGCAGATCTTGCACGTGTTAAGTTCTCCAGTTAAATCTTACACGGCGGCTAGATTGGAAAGTGCAGTGAGCTACTTCATTGCAATGAAAATATAATCTCGTGCCCGCACTGATGGTTATGATTTCGGACCTGCCCGCTTTTTTCTCTGTGGTCACATAGACAAACAAGGATCTCTGATCCTCAGATGACCTTATTAAATACGTTACTATGTAAGAGTTCATATGAGCCGTTTGATTTCCTTACTGTTATGTATTTACAAATTTAGCTTAATCTTAATGCAATAAGAGACTATTTATTACTTCTCTGGATGTCATTCAGAATAACGATAAGGTGGCCGTATTTGTTTTGTAGGACCAGCGACACAGTAATCCTTTCTCATAAGGAGCACCTGCCAGTCACTCAGGTTGTGATGAGCGCCACAGGCCGACCACAATCAGAAGCGGCTTATGCACTGGGGCCTCTGCTCTGCTGGGGGGACAGTAAGTAGTGGCAAGAGGAACTGTCTTGACCCCGGAAAATAAATGTCAATGTTTTAGGAGACATGTAGCTGCCTGAGTTCATAAAAACACCATCTATCCTAATAATCTGCATTACATTAGGAATGTGTTAACTTATAAAAGAAGAGTATCTTGGCATTGTACTTGAGGAAAAAAAAAGAGAAATATTATATTACCTTTGGAGTATTTAAATCAGACTATTGCTGTGAATGTTCATGGAATGATCTGAAATATTGTATCACCTGGTCAGCAAACATCTAATATCTGCCTACTAAGTGTAAGTATTGGATGAGTGCTGAGATGCCTAAAACTGGTAAGATAATGAGAAATGGGGTGACAGAAACTATCAAGGGTACCTCTTCATTAATACCCTCTGACAGTTTTGCAAACCTCAGTGGTCCTAACTCTCCTTACCCCTCCAACTGCATCTGGATTTCTTTTGTATCCTTCCCTCTCCCGAACTAACTGAAATAAAATATATCCACTCTACCTCTAATTTACCTCTTTCTAATCCCTTTTGAATATACTCTCTCCAGACCTTCTCCTCCATCACTCCCTAAAAACTGCTTTTTCCAGCTCATCAGTGAGACCTCGACATTGCTATATCCAAATTTTACTCTCAGGTGTCATCTGAGTTGACCTGTCAACCACTTTGGTGTCCTCTCCTGATTCACTCTTTGATTCACATCTTTATTTGGCTGCCAGCTTACCCAAAAAATTCTGGGTTTCCCCTCCTTTTTCCTTCCCCGTGCCAGCGGCATCCTGTTGGGGTGCCCCAAGCCTGCATCCTCAGCCCTCCTTCCCTCTACTTTCCAGTGGTGAGCTGTTTCCAACAGGCTCGTGGCTTTAAATAGCACATTGATGTCAATGAATCCGCCATCTATATACCTCAAGCCCAGTTTCCCTGAACTCCCACCTCTGGCATCCAACTGATTATTCTGTACCAAAAATAAAAATGTTTCCACAGCAACCTTCCCCAACTCAGTGCATGGCAACTCCATTCTTCCTTTTGCTTAGACTGAAAACGTGACAGCGACTCATAACTTCTTTCCTCCCTTAACACAAATCTGATTCATCCACAAATACAGATCGTATTGCTTCACACTTCAAAAACAGATGCAGAATCCACCGCCATGGCCACCAGCACCTGGATTGTTGCCATGGCTTAACTGGCCTGCCCGCTGCCACCTTCCCCACTTACCTGAGACTCCACATAACGGCCAGAAGGATAAGTCAGGGCACGTCAGTCCTCTGGCCCAGACTCTCCAGTGGCATGCGTCTCAGAGGAGAGGCCAAAGTACAAAGTCCACCAAGGCTGCGGTGGCTGTGCTGCCCTCTGAGCCCATGGAGCCACAACCCTCTCGGGGGCCCCGAAGGAGATGTTGCCACGTGAGGAAATCCTGGCATTTCTGAACCTTGTTATTGAAAAAACGGAAGTTTCCTACTTCAGATGACAAAAATATTGAGAGGTGGGTCGACAAAATGTAAAGAACATAGTGATGTGCCTTGACTGATGATAGTACGAAGCATTGTTTTTCCCAGTCATGACCTTAAACTGCAGACCACAGCTCTGTGTCCGGATAAGATGAATGAAGCACGCCCACCTCATCTCTCGCACTGAGTCTCCCTATAAAACTGGGCAGAAGGCCTGAAACAGTTATCTCAGGACCCTGGGAAGCAAACAGCAGCAAGGAAGAGAAACCAGCATGCACCACTTGCTTTTTCCTCCAGCATCTGTTGGCCAAGCCAGACGTGGGCACTGGGTCACAGACAGAGAGGTCCCAGGAGAAGCCCTCTAGCCCTGGCTGGAGGAGGGAACAGAGAATTCCTAACTCTCAGGGAATGCAGGAATCCCATTTCCCTCTTTTTCTATCCAGGCAGACCCATGGCAATAGCAGCAGAAGTTGTCCTGTGGACGCACAAGAGCCAGGACCTTGGAAGGGGACTTTCGCTCTGAATAGGACAGCTGTGGCTCAGAGATGGTGGGAAGACTCCTCTTATTCTGTTTTCTTTCTCCACTCACCCATCGCTTGGCAATGGACTTGGTACAGTTGCATAGGAGAGCACTGTGGAGCAGTCTCAATAGAGCCCATTTTCTGGTTCTGTGACTGAAAAGGGAGACCAGGGAACCAGAAAGTACCTGGAAGAGCAGAGGGAGGTGACAGTTCAGGAAAGCATGCTATATGTTGTTTATGAAGTCCTGGGCTCACCTCAGAGTGACACATGCATGGATCTGATCCTAATTGTAAACCCAAGAAGTTGAGAACTGAGCCGAGAGTCTCAGACCCAAGACCCAGGCTGGCCACTGGATGGTCCACGAGTAGGGGAGAGCTGAGTCGTGCTGCAAAGGCTTTGAAAACTGGACTGCCATTAGAGAGAGCCCACAGAAGGCAGGTTGGAATGTGTGGCCAGATCTTAACCAGGCCAACTGCACCCCGATGTTTATAGCAGCAATGTCCACAATAGCCAAACTGTGGAAAGAGCCAAGATGTCCATCGACAGATGAATGGATAAAGAAGATGTGGTATATATACAATGGAATATTATGCAGCCATCAAAAGGAATGAGATCTTGCCATTTGCAACGACGTGGATGGAACTGGAGGGTGTTATGCTGAGCGAAATAAGTCAAACAGAGAAAGACATGTATCATATGACCTCACTGATATGAGGAATTCTTAATCGCAGGAAACAAACTGAGGGTTGCTGGAGTGGGGGGTGGGGTGGGAGGGATGGGGTGACTGGGTGATAGACACTGGGGAGGGTATGTGCTCTGGTAAGCGCTGTGAATTGTGCAAGACTGTTGAATCTCAGATCTGTACCTCTGAAACAAATAATGCAATATATGTTAAGAAAAAAAAAAAAAAGAAGAAGAAGGTAGCAGGAGGGGAAGAATGAAGCGGGGGAAATCGGAGGGGTAGACGAACCATGAGAGACGATGGACTCTGAAAAACAAACTGAGGGTTCTAGAGGGGAGGGTGGTGGGAGGATGGGTTAGCCTGGTGGTGGATATTGAGGAGGGCACATTCTGCATGGAGCACAGGGTGTTATGCACAAACAATGAATCATGGAACACTACATCAAAAACTAATGATGTAATGTATGGGGATTAACATAAGAATAATAAAAAAAAAACCCTAAATAAATTAGAAAGAAAAAATAAAATGTGTACATATATATGTATAAAATCAACTTTTCCACAACATTTAAACAAAGCCCAGAGTTCATTAATATCATATTTAAAATATCTAGGAAATAATCCAAAATTACTTAGCACAAAGAACCAGGAAAATGTAAGCTGGCTTAGGAAAATATAATCAACAGATACTAATGCAAATATGACACAGAGGTTAGAATTAACTGATAAAGAGTTTAAAACAGCTATTACATAAGAACTCTAAAAAGTAATCATAAACACTTTGGTAGCAAAGAGAAAAAGAACATTTCACCAAAGAAATAAGATATATAAAGAGCTAAATGAAAACTTTAGAACTGAAAAATATGGAACTGAAATAAAAGATGCCCTGGGTGGGCCAAAGAGTGGATCTGAGATGAGACAGTCATTGGCCTTAATGACAGTAATGACTCATCTGACCAAAAGAAAGAAAAAAATCTAAAAATGAACAGGGCCTCAGGGAACTGTGAATCAACAACAGAAGATCTAACATTCATATAATTGAACATCCAGAAGCAGACAGAAGTGTGGTGCTGTAAAAAAAAAAAAAAAATGGCTGAAAAATGTCCAAGTTTGGCAAAAAACAGACTTGAGAAGTTGAATGAACTTGAAACAGGATAAACTCAAAGAAAGTCACCTCCAGATACGTCATTATCAAACTGCTGAAAACAAAGGCAATGAGGGATGTTTTGATATCAGCCAGAGAGAAGAATGATACATCATCTATAGGTGTTCACCTACTCAAATGGCAGTGACTTTCTCATTAAAAATATGGAAGCCAGGAAGGAAGTGGCAAAACATTTGTCAAGTGCTAAAAGTAAAGAATTGTCAGTCTGGAATTCTATATTCAGCAAAAATCTCCTTCAGGGATGAAGATAAAATAAAGAAATTCTCAGGTGAAGGAAAGCTAAAAGCATTCCTTACTAGAAGATACTTTAAAAGACTTTCTAAAGCAAGATTCAGACAGAAGGGAAATGATATCAGAAGGAAATTTGGGACATCAGGGGTGGACAATCAGCATTAGAAATGGTAAACATCAGGGTACATATGATAGACTATTCTCCTGTGGAGTTATTTTAAGTATACTTGTGGGTTGAAAGCAAAAAATACAACATTATTTCATAGGAATTTTAATTTGTACAGATGAAATACATTTGGCAACAACAAATAAAGGGACTCAGTAAAATGACAGAATCGTTGGCGAGATTCTGACATATGAATCCAAGTGGTTAAAATGTAGATTCTGAGCAGACTCTGAAAAGGTAAGTATATATATTGTCATTCCTAAAATAACTAATCAAGGAACTGCTACAGACAAACAAAAATAGAATACTAAAAAATGTTTAACCCAAAAGGAGATAGAAAAGGGGAAACAGAAGAACAAAAAAGTATAACAAATAGGAAAAAATAATAAAATGGTAGAACCAAACTAAACCTGTCAACATTTGTCTTTAATATGACTGGTCTAAACAAACCAATTAAAGGACATTGTTATGACTCAACTATGTACTATGTACAAGAAACTCACTTCAAATATCATGACATCATAAGTTTAAAAAGAGGGACAGGAAAAGATATACTACACAAACACTAATTACAAGAAAGCTGGAGTTTCTGTATTAAAGTTTTTGCTTGAAAGCATAGAAAATTAATAGATACAAAAAGAGATTAAGAATACATGAGAATCCTAAATGTGTATACTAATAACTGAGCTTCAAAATACATAAAGCAACAACTGACAGGATGGAAAGGGGAAGTAGACAAATTCATAATTATAATTAGAGAATCCAATACTCCTCTCTCATTAACCTTTGGAACTAATAGGGGAAAACAAGCAAAGTGTACATAAAACCTGAATGTCACCACAAACCGACAGAATTTAATTGACATTTATGGAACACCCTACCAGCAGTAAAATACATATTCTTTTCAAATGCACGTGGATACACCATATTCTGTGTCACAAAACAAACTTGAGCACATATCAAATAAATCATACAAAATACATTCTCTGGCATAAATGAATTAAACTAGAAACAAAGAACAAAGAGACTGAGAAAGTCTCCAAACCCTTAGAAATTAAACACCAGACTGCTAAATAATAAATGAGTCAAGGAGGTCTCAACGGACATTATAAAATAAATTGATCTGAATGAAAAGGAAAATACAACATATCAAAAACGGTGGGAGGCAGTTATGGCAGTGCTTAGAGGGATATTAATAGCATTAAGTGCTTATATTATGAAAGAAAAAGGTGTCAATAATTTAAGCTTTTACCATAAGAATTTAGAAAAAGAAGAAAAAAATCTCAAAATAGCAGAAGGAAGGAAATAATAAAGATAAGAAGAGAAATCAATTAAAAGCAGAGATCTATAAAAACAAAACATATTTTTGTAATATCAATAAAATAGATAAATCTCTAGCAAAACTAGAGAAGAGAAATATTACCAGTATGAGGAGTAACAGCTAGCGTATCACTACAGACCCTACAGACATCAATAGTATAATAATGACATACTACAAACAACTCTACACACATAAATTCTCCAACATAGATAAAATAGACCAATTCCTTGAAAACCACTAACTACTAAAACTCACTCAAGATGAAAGAAACAACTGGAATAGACCTAAAAGTATTGATGGAATTGAATCCAGTCTGAGATGACTTCTCACTGGTGAGTTCCACCAAAGAAGAAATAACATCATATTTATACAATCTCTTTTGGAAAATAGAAGAGGAAATTCTTTCCAACATTTTATGAGGGCCAGCATTGCCCCAATCCCCAAACTAGACAAAGAAAATGCAAAAAAAAAAAAAATTAAAAAAGAGATAACTGTGGACAACATCATCGCAGACATATATGCAAAAATCCTCAACAACATTAGCTCTTAATCCAGGAATATTTAAAAGAATAATATACCATCGCCAGCTGGGGTTTACCTCAGGATACAAGGCTGATTCAGTGCAGCTGACCCTGGAACAACATGGGTTTGAACTGGGCAGGTCCACTTATGTACAGATTTTTTTTTCAAGAAATACAGTACAGTCCTGTAAATGTATTTTCTCTTCCTTGTGATTTTCTTAATAATATTTTGTTTTCTCCAGCTCACTTTATTATAAGAATATGGTGTATAATATATGTAACATACAAAGTGTGTGTTAATCAAGTGTTGATGTTATTGGTAAGACATCCAGTCAATCGTAGGCTATTAAGTTTTTGGAGGGTCAGAAGTTACACGTGGACGTTCAACTGTGCGAAGGTCAGTGCCCCGACCCCCTTGTTGTTCAAGGGTCGACCATATTTGGAAGTCAATCAATGTCATCTACCATATTAACAGTTTAAAGAAGAAAAATCACACAAGATGCTTTTTCTGCATCAATGGATATGAACACAATCATTTGAATTATTATGATTATATTATGAACATGATAAATTTATATCAGGTAGCATTCACAATAAAATTCTTAGCAAACTATGAATAAAAGGGAGCTTCTTCATCCTAATAAAAGGTGTCTATATATGGAACAGCTAGCATCATAATTACTGGTGAAAAACTGAATTCTTTCCCCCTAAGAGCGGGAACAAGATAAGGATATTCAATCTCATCACTTCTGTTCTACAACTTCAATCGTACTGGAAGTCCTAGCCAGTGCAGTAACGTAAGGAAGTAAATAAGTGCATCTAGGTTGGAAAGCAAGAAAGAAAACTATTCACAATTACATGTGTGATCAGCACAAATGTTTAGAGCAGCTCTGTTTGTGAATGACCAAATCTGGAAACCACATTGACATTCTCAAATGTGGACAAAGAAATGGTGGCCCCATCCACATGATGAAATACTACAGAGCAGCAATAACTTGTGGCAACCTGAATGAATCTCAGAGGCTTTACACTGAGTGAAAGAAGCCAATCTCAAAAGGTTACCTACTGCATGACTCCGTTTATATGACACTTGGAAAAAGCACAACTATAGATCATGATCAGCAGGGCTTAGGGGCGTGAGGAGGGTGTGACTATAATCGAATAGCAAGAGGGAGTTTTTGGGGGAGATGGAACTGTCCTTTATCCTGATTTTGGTGGTGGTTATACAAATCTACGCATGTATTAAACTTCATCTAACTGTGCATCCCCCAAAAGTCAATTTTACTCAATGATAATTTTTAAATAATATTGTTTTCTAAAAAACAGGACATTTCCAGTGATTATCTCTCCACTCAGTTGCAGTCTTGTCCATCTTAATCCTTGAAAGAGTCACTATTTGGATATTCACATTGTGACTGTATGTTCAGAAGAACCCCCAAACGAAGGCTTACAAAGATAATGAATGCACTTAGTGGTAAAAAAAAATGCTAGAAATACAAAATGTGGTTGTTATTCTGTTTCATTGCTATTGTGACTGTCTTTTTTTTTTCTTTTTGGAAACAGATTCATTTTGGAATTCTGCTTCCTTCAATACCGAGACTTCATACCTTCACTTCCCTACGTTCCGTGGAGAGCTCAGTGCTGATGTGTCTTTCTTTTTTAAGACGACAGCTCCTTCTGGGGTGTTTGTAGAGAACCTGGGGATCACAGACTTCATCAGGCTAGAGCTGCACGGTGAGTCGCCCCCTGGGCAAAGCCACCAGGCGCTCAGTACTTAGCAATAACCCTTTTGGAACCTAATTCCCAATGTATTGCCATGCTTTCTTTGTCACTTGTATTTCTTTAGTACATACTAAAGTTCTATGACCTTTTTTTAAGATTTATTTATTTGAGAGAAAGAGAGCAGGGTTGTCGGGGGAAGAGGGAGAGAGAGTCTTAAGCAGACTCCGTGATGAGCGTGGAGCCCAGTGCAGGTCTTGATCTCATGACCCTGAGATCACAACCTGAGCCCAGACCAAGAGTCGATGTTTAACCAACTGAGCCACCCAGGAGCATCTAAAGTTCTACTATTTTAAATCCTTATTTTTAATAGAGAGTAAAACAGTGATTCACAAAACACACAGCAGTCTGTCCAATTTTGTGCTGCCCTAACTCTGTGTGCAATCAGGATATTTTAAACCAAACTGGTCTGATAACTACTCACTAAATTGCAGAATCATGTCATGTAATTGACTCCTCACATTGTTTGTGCATGTACACAAGGCTCAATTCCTTACTTCAAAATTTCATGTAGGGCTTTTTAAATAAAGTATATGAAAATTTAAATTTAAATAAATTCACTGATATATATGAAGGCAGATCACAGGTCAGTTTTCTTCCCATAGGGAAAGATCTCTACTCCTTCGGGTTTAGCAAGATGGAGAGTGTGCTCTGAAGAGGAATATGACAAAATGGCTTTGTTTTTCTTCCTCCAGGATACAAATTTATTTTGCCCTCCTAGCCAGCTCAGAGTGACATTTGTCTGCATCAGTGTCACCATCTGCTTTCATAAGGAGCGTGTCATGCAGCTTCCCTCCTATCTCTCAAGACTGAGTTTCTTCCCCTGTGAATGAACCAAGCTACTCTCCTATCTGTATTTGCAGCTCCTGCAGAAGTGACCTTTTCCTTTGATGTGGGGAACGGGCGTTGTGAGGTCACAGTGCGGTCTCCCACTCCCTTTAACGACAATCGGTGGCACCACGTGAGGGCAGAGAGGAATGTGAAGGAGGCATCGCTTCAAGTGGATCAGCTCCCCAGCAAGACGCAACCTGCACCCCCTGACGGGCATGCCCGCCTACAGCTCAACAGCCAGCTCTTTGTGGGTGAGTGTGGACGCTCTCTTGCTGAACTGTGCTGATGGAGAGACCCAGAGAAGATGCTAACCGTACGGCGGTGACGGCCGCAAGTGCACATTGCTTCTGGCCGCACCGTGTGCCAAGAGCTCACGCAGGAGTCAGCCTCTCTTTCCATAGATTATTGTTAATACAGTTTCCATAGAACGTTGTTAGTGATTGTTGCTTCCATCAGTTTCCCAGTTCATGGATGAGATAATGGAGGTTCAGAGAGATCAAGTGACTGAGTCTAGAAACTCAAATAGAAGAGAAATCCAATCCCTGGTGGATGGATTCCCAGGCTTGCACTCAATAGTATCGATGACTTGCGTTTGTTTTAGTTACTTCTTATCAATACTGTTTCTAAAACAATTAGCAGTTTTCATCCAATACTCCCGCTTCACTTCTCAGTGAAGTTGGGGAACCTGCCATGTGACTGTGACAGAATTCTTCAGTGTCCCCCCGCCCCCAAACACAGACTGCAGGAGGACTCACATGGCTGTGCCCCACGGGACCAGCGCCGCCCTCCTCTGCTGCTCAGGTCTTGCAAATGCCGGGTTCAAACCCGGGCTGGCTCCATCCTTGCTGCCACTCTTCAATGATTAAAGCTCTGGGTAGTGGATGTCTTCCTTTTCATTTACTTGCTTATTTTTTTTAATACTTTTTTTTTCTCAAAGGGAAAGATAAGTTTCGCTACATTACTTTTCAGACAACTCTATTCTAATTTGGAAACCAAGCAGATCAATGAGGTAGCTCTTACTTGGTCATTTCTCATGTATTTTCAAGTAAATAAGAATGCAGTCCAATTAAAAACTGATATAAATCACAGATTAGCATGCAGTCTGCTTTGCCAGAGGACATCCACGGCATCTGGGGGCTAGTGCAGTGCAGGGAGTTGTGTGTGTGTGTGTGTGTGTGTGTGTACAACCCAAGGTACATAAAACTCCACTTCAAGGCTTCCCATCAAATCATGAAACTGGGAATCAAATTAAACAATTTTATTTTCTGATTTGTAATCCTGAGGATCATCTAGGAAAAAAGTGTGCATGAACACCTACCTAGAATCGACATCCCCACTGAAATAATGTTTCTAGAGCTTGAGAAGCTAGCGGAAAATTCTGATCTGATGTAGGTACCCCAGGCTCACCGAGTCAGAATCCCTAGGAATGAACCCCAACTCTGTTTTGGCAAGCACTCCAGGTGATCCCTGGGCTCCCAGATTTGAAATCAGGCTCACATGAGACATGATAGAAAGACAGAGAGCTATACAGTGTTCAGTGACTATTACCCTGCCTGACCTCAGAGCTCGCAGGCTGGAGCGAGGCAGGCCTGAGGGCCTAGGTTTTAATATCCCCCCTCTGCCTTCGCTTTCTTTGACCACTCCTCAATTCCTTTTCACAGGGTTGTTACTGGGAGCACTTCTAAGAAGGGATGATATTACATATACAATTTGTTATCTATATAACAAATGTATAACAAATATGTAACAAAATATATATAACAAATGCATATACAAATTATAATGTATATTATATATAAAATATATACGCTATATATAAATTCGTGCATTACAAATCTGTAATATATATTATATTGCAAAGATTTTCAACTATCTAACTTTATCGTGCATGTCACAGTTTATAGACTTAAACTCTAAAAAGGATAGATGGGTCTTTTTTTTTTTTATGAAGGAACCAATGTAAAAGTGTACAAATCTTTCTAAATATCACTTGAAGAAGTATTTTTAGAATAAATATTTACCAAGGTCATCTTCAAAAATATTTTTGTCAATGGTTTATTTGATATCATTTGATGATTCTTAATATGTGATCAGCCTTTGTTTTCAAACTTGTATGTGTTCGTAAAACTTTCGGCGGGTCGCTCTTTTGACCTTGTCAGTACGGCCTCAGTTGGATGTGGAGTCGAGATGCCACCAAGACACCCAGGAGCACGTTTGCAGTTGCGGTGTTTCCCTTGTAGGCGGGACGGCCACCAGACAGAGAGGCTTCCTGGGGTGCATTAGGTCGCTGCGGGTGAACGGGCTGGCCCTGGACCTGGAAGAAAGGGCCACAATGACACCAGGCGTGGAGCCGGGGTGCTCAGGACACTGCAGCAGCTACGGACACCTGTGTCGTAACGGAGGGAGGTGTAGAGAGAGACCCGGGGGCATCGCTTGTGACTGTGCCTTCTCCGCGTATGACGGGCCATTCTGCGAGAGCGGTGAGTGTGCCCCGCAAGCAGGACGGGGACAGGGAGGCACCTCGTTTGGCTGCTCGCCTTGTGTTTCTGGCATTTGACCCTGTAAAGGAAGGATAAGGCAGTTCTCTGTGATTGGCTAAAGTAGAGCTGTTTCTCTCCCAAATTCGTCCCTTTATGATTCTATTCTTGAGAAGCTCGTGAGGACTTCTGTTGGATCCAGCATCATCGATGCAACACTGAGGAGAACAGTAACTCTAAGTATATGTTTACACTCGGCATTTAATGCTCTGTAAATCTGAGATGAAGCATTTTGTGGGCCATAATAAAATACCGTTACTCAGTTCTACGTCATGCGAATATGCATGGGGATAAGTTATCTTTTTATCCATATTTTATTATTTTTTAATCTGAAATATTTTTAAATTTAAAAACACCCAGTAAAGCATGACATTCTTGTTTTCTCTCTTGAGATATTTAAGGGTTAGAGATAGTGTGTAAATACACGTAGAGAAGAGCCTTGCATTCACGTAGTGTTAACATAACAAAAATGAGTGTCATTCCAGAGATTTCTGCGTATTTTGGAACTGGCTCATCAGTTATCTACAACTTTCAAGAACATTCTAATTACACCTCCAGTAAGAACTCCAGCTCCTTTGCAGCTTTATTTCATGAGGATCTGACGCTGGCCGGCGAAATGGCCACACTGAGCTTCCGGACCACAGGGACGCCCAGCTTACTCCTCTATGTGAGCTCCTTCTATGAGGAGTACCTGTCCGTTATCCTTGCCCCCAATGGTGAGTGTCGAGACTGTAAGAACAAGAAGACTGAATTAGAAAATTAGGACCACAATGAGGAGGACCCTTTAGGTGTTAAACTACACAGAGGAAACACAATTGCATGGCTTGCAATTCTCGTTCTATCAGGGGTGGTTTATTTTTCATGATAACCTCAAGTGTTTATCACTAAAGTTAACATTTCTGTGATTACATTTCAGATACATTTCTCCCACGAAAGTTTGATCATTTTAGGTACTTGATGTGCAGCTATGCTTCTTGCTATTCTGGGAAGTCTTTCCTTCTGTACATGAATAAAGTAGTTTTGCAATTGACTTTGAAACAAGATATCTCGTTTTATACATGGAAAAAATTTCCTCGTCCTTCTGAGTGAAGTAAAGAAATATACTAAACTATCTAAAATCCACTATTCCTAAGGATCAGATGAATATGATTGTTCTTTACTCATCAGTGATTGAGAAATCATTCATGTCATATCTACATACAAAGAAAAGTGGGATGAGAGCTACCCAACCCATGGCCACCAAGTCTTTCCAAGACTGTTCAAGATGGAGAATTAAACCAAGCTATAACCTTGCTTCACAGGGAGGAAGGGCAGAGACTTACGTTCCGGAGGATCTATTACAGGCAGTATGGGAGTTATGGGATAGTGGGCATATCTGTGAAGGACATCAGGAAATTTAGATATTGTAGCAAATCATTTGTCTTTCCTCTGTTTCTTGATTATGGCAGAAACATTAGGAGAAAAATTCTGGTTGTGCAAAAAAAAAAAATCATTATGCAAATGTCAGCAATACATTAAAATGCGTTAAAATAAGTCACATTAAAAGAAGTGATGCTTATAGAAACTGAATGTTAATGCAATATTGCTTGAGGTTTTACCATTTAATACTATGAATACCACATGAATAATTAACTTCGAGCCTAGCTCCGAGTTCTCATATGCTTAACTTAGAGTTTTTCCTTTAGTTAAGGAAAATGGAAGAACTTGGAAAAAGACCATTTGGTCTTGACTTTTTAAATAGCATAATTGGATTCTGAATTCAGCCCCAGAATAGCACACAAATGATCACTCTTCCAGGAACAGGAATTATTGGTGTCCTTAAGCAAGTGCTCAATAAATTCAAATTATATGAATAAATAAAAACAAAATGTGCTTTAAAAAACCTGCATTGACGTTTTTTATAAAATTCCTTTTTAGTTAAAAATGTCATTTTTTGTCTTCTTTAGGAAGTTTGCAGATCAGGTATAAGCTGGACAGGCACCAGGAACCTGATGTTTTTAACTTTGGTTTTAAAAACCTCGCCGATGGGCAGCTTCACCAGGTGAAGATTCACAGAGAAGCGGCTGTGGTCTCTGTAGAGGTAAGGGGTAGATTCACAAAGGCAACAGTAACCAAACTTGTGACACTTAGCGTATGACCTCCAGCAAGACTTTGATAATAAATCCTAGTAAAAGAGATACATATTCAGCACAGTCTTCCCATAAAGTCCTGAGGACAGAAAAAGTAGCTAAAGTGTTTTATTTAGCAGTGTTGTTTGTTTGTTTAGCAAGAGGCTGACAAGGTCCTTATTAATATTTGACCACTTAAAATACCAAGCTGTCCTTATCAGTAGGGGAATGTTGTCTAGTTTCTCCCAGCGATTCCTGGAGATACTCCGATGGGAACCTGTTCCAATCTGACTACAAAAAAAGCAAGGCCTGCAGAAATGTAAACACAAAGGGAAAAGCAAGATTTTGCTTAAAGTGGGAATACATTTTTTAAAAGCATCAGTGTTTAAATTATTCATTGTCACTGGGTTTTGAAGAATAACCTTTATATATTGAATCTGTGTGAATAATACCTTTTGCTGCTCGCGTTACTAATTTCTATTTGAAATAACTAAAAGTTTAAGGTTTGAAATAGCTTATTGCATCCCTTTGTGGATTGTACCAATTATAGATCCTTAAACCATGAAGACAAATAAAGGGAAAAGAATAGGCAATGGGGTGGTGTGAAATCTGAGGTATTATAAAAATTGTTATGAAACCATTTTCTCCTTTAACCTTTGTGATAGCTCGAATGTATGGCTCATTTTTACCATTTTTCTTGGTCTCCCTCTGATTCTCATTCTCTTATCATCAAAACTGCTCTCTATTTTGATGTTTGCTTCTCGTGGAATATTTAATAGGTTAACCAGAATGCAAGGAGACAAGTCATCCTGTCATCAGGGACAGAATTCAATGCTGTCAAATCCCTTATGTTGGGGACAATTTTAGGTAAGTGTCAGAAAGAGCGTCGTCCCCCCACCTCCCCCAACCCCATGACATGGATCAGAAGTGTTAGGTTGCAAACACAGGAAGCGTTTGTCATGCTGAAAGAAGCTCCTTGTCATATTCATGGTTTCCCAGTGAGTGACAATCAAGGTAGAAGCTGCTCTTTTGTCTGAGTGTGCCTGTAATCACCAGGAAGGGCTGTCTGTAGGTGAGCCAGAGTGATCCCTGGGAAGTTCCTCCACACTTACCCTCTCCCTTGGCAATCAAGCAGAATGAAACTTGGTATTTTTCTAACAATTGAGGAAAGGCGAAATTAAAGCAGGTATCACGTTCACAAATTATATATTAATCAGGGGTCAAATGCAGAATCATTCAATGATAAATATAAATTTATATTTACAAGAAGAAGAGAAAAGACTTAATTTTCTTTTAGCAAGTGAATACGTGTGGGGCAGTAGGCCGGGCCCTGTTCTGAGATGTGTTCAATGCTCCCAACTACTCTTGGAAAGTCAGGACCTGAAGATCCCACACACACTCTTTATGACTCTGAGTTATTCTCCATTAAAGTAGGAGAGTAAAAGCATACTATACTACTTAGGCATCAAATTATTTATGCCTTTATTTTTCCCCTTGAATTAAATTGAAATAAAAATAAATTTTGAAAGGTATCTTTTCTTTTTGATCTTTTATATGTAAACTGTATGTGCTATCGATATTTAAAGTTATATGGGAGAAATCTTGTGGTATTGTGTATTATTCCTGCTCTGGTATGTGACACCCATCTGGCTCTGTTTAGTCCTAGATAATTCATGGAATCTTTATTACCTTTTCAGCCATTTGTACATTGGTTCTTTGATCATTTCTTCTACCCCGCCCCCCACACATATATAACATCTTACAAACTTGGGAGATTTAGAGACAGCACATGGGCGGATATTCAAAATACGGTGAGAAGCACAGTAACTGTTAAAACGACCACATTTTTCAAAAAGATGATGGGCAATAAAATGATGAGTTCTTATTTTTCAGAGGAAATGTGACAAATCCCAGCGTGCCCCTTGTAAAAGGTAAAAACAAACACGCATGGTTTAGATGGTACAGCATAAATGGAAGCTCCATGTTGGTCACGTGCAGTTACAGGTGCAGGTTAAGCCAGTTAAGGAGGGTCCCGGAGGTGGGGCGCCTGGGTGGCTCAGTTGGTTGGGCGACTGCCTTCGGCTCAGGTCGTGATCCTGGAGTCCCGGGATCGGGTCCCGCATCGGGCTCCCTGCTCGGCAGGGAGCCTGCTTCTGCCTCTGACCCTCCCCCCTCTCATGTGCTCCCTCTGTCTCAAATAAATAAATAAAATCTTTAAAAAAAAAAAAAAAAAAAAAGGAGGGTCCCGGAGTTCTTTGCTGTGAAAATACAGTTTTGGCGCCATATGATGAATAGCAACTTCAGGCTGAAGTGGTAGTCCTGCTTTCTAATCACGCCTCAAGGTGGATAAAGAATTGACCTCCACGATGTGTTGTTAGGAAAGCAGCTTGCGCTGCAGGTGCTTTGGTGTGGCTCATTGTTCCTGTCCCTTCTGCACATGCAGAATAGTCATCGAGCAGTTAGCACAGAAATACAAATGAGAACAGTTGTTTCCCCTTGAGCGTTGGGAGAAGTTTCTAGCTACGGCAGCCCATCGGAGAGGGAGGGGGACTATCTCAGTCTCTAATGTGTCATTTCTGGACATCCATGTTTTCGTGTATTAGTAGATTTTTTATTCTATTTTTTTCAAGTTTTTATTTAAATTCTGGTTAGTTGACATACAGTGCAATATTAATGTCAGGTGTAGAATTTAGTGATCCATCACTTACATACAACACCCAGTAGATTTTTTTATTCTATTTAAAACAGTGGCATAGTATAGAAAACCACAAGAACTGGGAGAACAATGGAAAGAAATAAGCTCCTCCTCTGGCATTCACCCATGAGAATAACAGTATACATTTAGCTGGAGGATATTATGAAGTTCCTAAAAATTCAAAGCCCACTTTGAGTTTCACAGAACAGCGGGATGGAACCCCATCCTTGGCTGTCAGGTGAATAAGATAATTGTTTTTAACATCCAAGGGGAAAAGAATTTGCTCCCTTTTTATCTGATGCTGAGCTCCAGTCTCTGGCCCGACGGAGAGTTACTATCCTTGGTTTGAACAGAGTGAGGAATGGATCATCTTAGGGGTGTGCAAGCCTCAGCGCTGGGCTCCCATACAGGGGAGGTCTGTGAGTGGGGAGATGACCCCGTCTGCCCCCAGCAGTGTCATCCCCCCTTCCTTGTGGGAGTCTGTGTGCATTCTTTTCCCAGCCATGAGGACAGATAGGGTCAAGGAACAAAAGGAACACACCCACACAGCTGCCTGTCTTCAGTGACTCCAGCCTCTGACAGGAGACATGAGGCAGGTTCAGAAGTGTCTGTGACTCAAGGTAGAAAAGTTGCCATCAGGAAGTGTGAAATTGACGAAGAAATATTTTTAAAGACATTTTAGCTTTGAATTTATTATCTGTAAAAAGATATGCCATAGATTATGGAAATTGATTTAATAACTAAACTGCCTTATATAAAGGAAATCATTTTAATTAAAAAAGGAGAATAATACATTTTATCATATAAATTTTTATTTTCTACAAGTTAATATATAGAGGGCAATAGCATGGAATCAAAGATGTTAATGTTTCAAGAATGGTATAGTCAAAAGCATCTCTCTTAGGCTATAAAAATTAAAGTTGAAATTCAGCAATGAAGTTTATTGCCTGAAGAAATTGAATCTCATAAAATTATAAATATTCATTTCATCTGTACCTAGAGGTACTCATCTTGATCAAAGGCTAATAAAACTTTTCATGTTTTGGATAACTTTATTTCAGGATAGCTTCTAGTTACCAGTTAGTAACTATGAATAGACTACTATTTTTTGTTCAGATTTGGAAAATATAAACTGAGCTTCCTTTCATAAACTGATAGTAAAATAGACCAACAGATTGGCTAATAAAGAGCCATTAATTTTCCAAAGAAAGTTGTCTCAAACCATGGCAAGATATCCAGTACTTATTTTTGGTTAGCTACTTTGACTCAAAGAGCTATCCATTCATTAAAAATGCTTTGGTGGTCCCTGATGTGCACTTGTATTTCCCTGGACATTTTGAATGCTTAGCAACAAGACATACTGTACCTGCCCTCAAGGCACTTGCAATATAATAGGGAATATAAAAAATAAAATAGTGTTTATGACGAATCTAATTTATCATTATTATTATTTACCCTAATGTGCTTTGGGAAAAATGGTTCAGGATCATCTTCCAAATTAACAGGCTGCTCTTGTTCTTCCCATTCTTCAGTGGTCTTATTAATGATGGCCACCCAGGTTAAGTGTTCCCAGTTACTATAAAATAATTTTAGTAAAATCCTAGTTTAAATGCAAATCATTAGATTTCTAATTTTCTGTCTAGTCTTGACTTGGATGTGGCCTTAATCCTAAAGTATGAGAGCTTTAAAATACAACAACCCAGTGAGGTGCCCTAGCATTTTTACTAAGTTTTATTTCTCTGAAGACTTTTGTATAAATGATATTCTGTTGATTTTGTCTTTTGTGCATGAAAAAACAACAACAGCAAAGATCCCCAAAATATCAAAACAAAAATCTGTGTTGAAGTGTGCAGAATAAAGATGTGCCATTCTATTTCCTCCTGGGAAAGAATACATAGGTTGAATTTAGTTCAAATCAATATAGTCATGCAGATAAACCATAGTGGGTCAATTTTGAGTGTGGGGAAAGAAAATCCACTGAAGGATCCTATGTTGAAATGGAACTCCATATATGAGAATTGGGTAATAAATAATTTGTGGAAATTACCTACTGATACCTTCATGGACAGACAACAGTTTAGATATTAAAAATTCCATTGACTTATGTGACATATGTTTGTCTTTGCTATGCTCTGCCTAAGAATTTATCTCATTTAGGAGGAAAGTCATGGAGTGGAAGACACAAAAAGTTTATAAAATTTCAGCAATATGAATAGAAATGCAAAGGTCCTCAACAAAATATGAGCAAATCTAATCCAGTAACATAGAAAAATTGTTATACACTATGACCAGATAAGATTTGTCCTAGGAATTTAAGGTTGGTTCAACAGATAAAGAGCAATCAATGTAATACTCCATATTAATAGAATAAAGGACAAAAACCACATGGATACCTCAATAGACACAGAAAAACATTTGAAAAAAATCCACTGTGCTTTCATAATGAAAAACAAACTAGGAATAGAAAGAAACTTCTTCACATGAAAAAAGACATCTACAAAAACCCCACATCTAACTTCACACTTAATGGAAAATAATGAAAATCTTTCCCTAGGATCAGGAATAAGATAAGGATGTATACTCTCACTGCTTTTGTTCAAGACTGTAGTACAGGTTTGAGTGAGGGCTACTAGGCAATAAAAAAAAAGAGTAAAAAGTATCCAGAACAAAAAGGAAGAAGCAAAACTATATTTGCAGAGAACGTGATCTCGTAAGGAATCCTTGAGAAAAGCTATTAGAGCTAGTACACAGTTTGAGCAAGGATATAAGATTGATACATAGAAATTTATTGTATTTCTATATACTAGGAATGAATAATACAGAAATGAAATGAAGACTGAAATGTAAATTCCATTTAAAATAGCATCAAAAAGAATAAAATACCTTGGAATAATGTTGACAAAAGGGGTGTAAGACACATACACTGGAAACTATGAGACATTGCTGGAAGGAATTATGGAAGACTTACATAAATAGAAAGACATCAATGTTCATGGATTGGAAGTCTTAATATTGCTAATATGGCAGTGCTCCCCAAATTGATCTACAGGTTCAACAAAATTCCTATCAAAATCCAAATGGCAAGTTAATCCCAAAATGCATATGGAAATGCAAGGGACTCCAAATAGCCAAAACAATCTCAAAAAGAAGAATGAAGTTGGAGGTCTCACCC